GTGTTTCCTGGCATCCCTCATCATAAGCTCCCTGATCATCTTTGAAGAAATAAGAGAAGTTTATACAGACTCAGTTGCTACTATCATGAAGTGTTGGGGTCCGTGCGGTAGGTGTGGATGGTACGAAGGTGTGAAGAGAACAGCTCCCCTGTTTGGCAGGGCCCGGGGGAGCTTCCAGCTGTTTGGCAGGGCCCGGCGCATTTCTCTCTGACCACCCTGACGCTGTTTTACCCCCTGGCTGCATGGACACTCAAGCACCCCACTAAGAATTCTGTAATCTATTAAGGCATTGTTTGCCCCTGTAGGATGGCTTTTATCACCAACGTGAGCTTGAGAGTTAGTGTCACTGATAATATCTTGGTGAGTGGGCCTTTGACAATTTACACACAGGAGCACAATTAAACCCATGCCATTTCTGGACACCTTATTGTGTACCTACCTATTGCCCTGAAATCGGGCCCAGACATATAGCACACCTTCTGGGAAGGGGCTTGAAAACATCCTAAATATTAATACAAGTGATGGGAGTGAGAGCTGAAACTGCTATGGCAATAAATATAGTTATTGTTATCTCAAAGGCTAGCCTGTCTTTGCAATTTTTTGGAACATAGAAAATGTAACTGTTTTAGCCGCTTTTATAATTTTTAGCTAGAGGAATTAAGGATGCTTTTATTAAAGAAAAATGCTTTTGATTATTGCTTTATTGTTTATGGGGTTGTAGGGGTCTATGGTTATAGGGAGATTTAACATTTGAAGTTTCTGTTTTAGATTTTAGGTTTTTTTCCTTTATAACCTATTTTCCCATTAAATGATGGGTAAATTGTAGAAGTAAAAATGTGGTGGGAAAGTACTACTGATTAGTAGATAATCACATGTGCCTTGGCCTTGGAGTCCTGGCTGTTGCTCCATGGCTACTGTTGAAGAATAAACAATAGCTTGCTTTGAAGAATATGAATACAGTATTTTACAAAATTATCTTTAGGAGCACCTGCTTAGCCTTGAAGTACAGACGGAGTGACCAAATGTCTGTACATGCCCCCTTAATTTTGAAAAGAAAAAAATAGAATAGTTGCTTGTGCAGAAGCTTGAGAAGGGTTTTTAAGTAAATAAAAAGGACAGTTTCTTTCTGAGCTATTGTGAGAATGCACCAAATGTCTGTGTCTGTGTCTTTCTTTATCGCCGACTCCACGCACCCTTCCCGAGCTCCGAACTCGGCTGGAGCTGGACTCCGGCAATGAAGGACATGCCAGCGGGAAGATATTGATGTGAAGGAAACAAAACTCAAAACGAGATCTTGAGATACCGACGAGAACAATGTTCATGAAATGAAGCGGTTTCCTGAGCTGAAATGTTAGCTGCCCTCTATTTCAGTCATCATTTCTTTCCTGATGCTGAGGAAATAATGCTCCTGACATTTCCAGATCCTTCTACCATCTTCCTTAGCACTTACCAGGATGTACTCAGACTCTGCTGAGGCATGATGGAGGGTGAGGGCTCCACTGTTGTCTCACATTTTCTTATTCAGGACTGGAGAAGAGACAAGTTCAGGTCATTTCCTCCTCATGCAAATGCTCCCAGTGTTATGGGAAAGAGCATGGAGCTATGAGATATCTACTGATGGAGTCATGGGCTGAAGGTGCTGGCTCATTATTTACACTTGGGAGACCCCGGGGGCTCAGTACTCAGAGCTCCTCATTAGGCAGTAGCTCCAGAATATCCTGGTCTCAGAGGACTGGCTGACACTGACAGAGGAGGGAACGGGGAAAAGCAGTGTCCTTGGGATTTAGACAGAAGGAAGCTCACCTGTGAGACTTTGCTGCTGGTTCCCAAATGCAGGATGATGAGCACTTGAGAGCAAGGGCAAACCTCTTCAATGCAAAAATCTCAAACACACACACACACACACACACACACACACACACACATGCACACACACACAAACACACATGTTGTAGCCCATGGAAGATAATTTCCCAGAGGATTTTCTATGGTCTCCCTGAATCTTCAGCAAGTCTGTTGGTCAAGGGCTTCCCTTGTATGAAGTCAGGACAGTAGCATTGGGACCATTTCCCCAACTGAGCAAAGAACAAAAGGGAATCTTAGAAACTAGAAAAGATGATACAATCCAAGGAATAAATCATGTCATCAGGAATAGATTTCAAAAATGGTTATTTTTTAAAAGATTGATTTTTATTTGAAAGGTAGATTTTTACAGAGAAGGAGAGACAGAAAGACATCATTCTTCCATTATTTTACTACCCAGTGATTGCAACTTCCAGAGCTGAGTAGATTCAAAGCCATAAAGAACAAGCATTTCTGGGTCTTCCACTGGGTCCAGAGACCCAGGCATTTGACACTTCCTCTGTTGCTTTTCCAGGATACAATCAGGGAGCTGAATAAGAAGTGGAGTAGCTGGGAAATGAACTGGCGCCCATGTGATGCCACAAGAAGATGATTGGTTGGCAGTGTTACCATACCAGCTACGTTAAACTCCACCAGTGACACATGTGAAAGAGAAGTTATCTGTTTTTCCAACAACAGCTCAAATGAGTCATTGTAAAGATGGCCCATAAGGAGATAGGTAACACAGAGAAATGACATATTGACAGTTTAAAAAATGCACACACATGATGAAGAGTGAAGTAAAAATAGTACAATCCACTTAGAACAAACATTGAAATTGAAATATACAGTAAGAAATTTGAATGAATCATTAGAGAAATCAACAAAGTTTTATCCAGTAAAATCATTAATCATTTGGCATGTATTAATAGCTCTATTTTTTAAAACATTTTATTTCATAATCATTTTAAATTTAAAAAATGGGAGTAAGAAAAATTTCTCACATTCCCTCACCCAATTTTCGGGATTTCAGGTTCTAACACCACCAGTGACTGGTTGGGCCCCATTTTGTGTGCTGAAAAACTGGCGACAAGACAGGAGGACCAACCACAAGCACTACATTCACTAAGCCAAAAGAAGACTCATTGCTGGCTTGGCAGAATGCAGTGGTTCAACAGAAAAAAATAGTATCAAATTGGCATCCTACAGGTTCCACCCAGGATAGGTTTGGGTGGCCCCCAGGATGAATGGCCAGCAGGACCAGATACCACAAATGCTACATCAAGTGCCATTTTGTGTCCTAAGGAAAAGGCTTTGTGGCAAGAAAAATAACAGTGAGGTCCACATGCACTGAGCTAGCAGAAAGCTTACATCTAGCTCAACACATTGTATAGGTCATAAAGAAAAAATAGTACCAACTCAGCCTTCAACAGATTTCTCCTAAAATAGGTCTGGGTGGCCCCCAGACTTAACAGACAGCAGGTCCAAAACTCCACCAGTAACACATCACACACCTTTTGTGCACTGATGAAAGCTTATGGGGCTGAAAGAACAACAGAGAGCTATGGAGGCACAAAACCAAGAGAGAACTCATTTCCAATTCAGTGCAGAGCACAGATATCATAGGGAAAATATTACTGACATACGATCTGACAAGTTCCAACCAAAATAGGTCCAGGTGGCGCTCAGGTGTACACATCATAAGTTAACTGTTCATGAGCCAGTTGATCCAGGATGTCGTGGTCTCTGAGGACTGGCTGATATGAATGGAGATGGGAATGAGGAAAAGAATGAGTACCTAGGAACCTGACACAAGGAAGGTCACCTGTGCTCCTCTGTTCCTGATTCCAAGGGCACGATCTGAACATAAAACTCACAGTTCTAGTTTTCAGTTTCAGTTCAGAGCATGAGTTTTCCAATGTTTCAAGCACAGCAGATAACACAGAGGTTATGCATGGAAACCCAGAAACAGCAACTAAACAAGGGAACACATAACATCTCCAGAAATAATAACCAACTTTTGCATGTTTTTACTGCAGATGTATGGAGAGAAGGAGAGGCAAAGACAAACATCTTTCACTCACCAGTTGGATGCATTAGCTAGAGCTGAGTTTGACCAGATGCCTGTGTTCAGGAGCTTCTTCCAGGCCTCCCACAGGGAGCAGGGTTCCAAGGCATTGAGCCATCCCCACTGCTTTCCCAGGCCACAAGCAGTGAGCTGAATGGGAAGTGGAGCAGTTGGGACATGAACTGTGGTCCACATGAGTTCCTGGCTCTTGACTGTACATGATTAGACAACTGAACCATAGGGCTTGGGCCATAAGTAGTCAAACCTCTGAAAACTATGCAGATTTTTATCATCAAATTCAAGGAATAATCCTGAGATACTCAATAAGCAAAAATCATAATATGAATCACAAATTGTGCAATGGGGAAAATGCATGATCAAACTATAGGTTGGTTAAAATACATTACATATGAAAGAGAAACAAATATATTAGAAATAAAAAATATAATACAAGCACTAACATTCCATAAAGTGTTCAACAGCAGGGTTTAACAATAACAAGACAACATTTTTGCCTATTCATATCATTTATTTTATTTCCTAATAGCAACTATATCTATTTTTAATAATTTCTTGAAGAATCAATGTAATTTAAAAAGAAACTTCTTTGAGATAGCAAAATGGATAGCATCCTCATATATTTGTCCTCATCTTAGTCTTCAGTTTAAAGAAAGCAGAATCTCTTGGATGAGACCCAGATCTGAGATTTGGCGAACCCCCAATGGCGGTTCCCTAAATAGGAACAATGTTTTGATCCACAATGAAATCAAGTGCAAATTACATTAGAGAGATTCAAAATGTGTGTGGAACAGACATATGAATTATGCAAAGAAATAAAATGTAACATATCATCAAAAAAAAAACAAAAAAAACAAAAAAAAACCGAGTTACCTGTCTATGATGCCTGGATCAGAGATAATGAGATACAGCAAAGTCTATAGGTAAAAAGGATTCAGGAAGAGCGTTGTAACAATACACTTAAGAATCCAAAATATTCTAAAGTAAAAAGAGTAAAAGAAACAATATCCAGACATGAATGTGCAGCCACAGGGCCTCATGTATCAAGTTTATGGAGATGAGATTTGGAGATCTAATGAGTAGTATTGCTGCTTTTCCCACAAAGTCCAAATGCATAGCTCAGGCACTGGAATGAGACTAATTTGTTGAGTACCCTTCTCATGGCTCTCTTCATGTCTCTGTTCCTCAGGCTGTAGATAAAGGGATTGAGCATGGGGGTGACCACCGTGTACACCACTGAGGCCAAGGCACCCTTTCCAGCAGAAAGTGAGAAAGCTGAACTGAGATACACACCAATGCCTGTTCCATAAAATAAGCAAACCACTGTCAGGTGAGAGCCACATGTGGAGAACGCTTTATACCTGCCACCTCGAGATGGGATTCTGAGAATGGAGGACACAATTTTATAGTAAGAGAAGAGGATCCCTGACATAGGGAGAAAGCCATACAAGATGCTTACAATATATGTGACTATGTCACTGCTGAGGGTGTCAGAGCAAGTAAGTTTGAGAATTTGTGAAGGGTCGCAGAAGAAATTACAAATCTCCACTCCCGTGAAACAGATAACTTGCAAGATCATCAAATTCTGCAGCAGGGAATCCAAAAGACTGGCCCAAAGGGACACTAAAACTAAGAAGCCACAGCGGCAGGAGTTCATGATCACCTGGTAATGCAGGGGGTGACAGATGGCAACAAACCGGTCATAGGCCATTACTGTCAGAAGGAAATCATCCATGCAAGCAAAGAGGACAAACACAGACATCTGAGTCAGGCATCCAGCATAGGAGATGACTGTGCTGTGAGTAAGGATGGCCACAATCACTTTGGGAACCGTGGTGGAGGTGAATCCCATGTCAACCAAGGATAGGATACAGAGGAAGAAGTACATGGGTGTGTGCAGGTGGGAGTCTGAGGTGACAGTCAGGATGATGGCCAGGTTCCCAAAAACTGTGACCAGGTACATGGAGAGGAAAATCCCAAAGAGAAAGGGCTGCAATTCAGGATCCTCTGAGAAGCCCAAGAGATGGAATTCTGGGACATGTGTGAGGTTTTGAATTTCAATATTACCTGGGAAACTATACAGTGATAAAAAATGTTATTATAAGAGAAAGCAGGTACATGCACTTTCATTTATAAATTTGTTTATTTTAATATATAGAAGTAAAAGAAAACTTGTTTGATGTGATATTATCTTGAAATCTGTAGTATTTTGAGATGTTTTTCCCCAAAAAAGATTTCAAGACTTACACCTCCAATTGATGTTTGGCCCATGTTTTCAGTAATGAAACCAATCCCTTGGAACTCTCACAATTGGTTTCTGCAATATTCTACATACTTTTTCTACATACACTCTATGCATTCCTTCTTTAGTGATACTCAGCTGAGAAATACCAAGAATGTTAGATCTGACATGACATCGATCACAGTAAAATGCACTCTTTCAGAAATTTTTATGTGGTTTGTGGAATGAGGAACAGAAATTTGGAGATAGAAATCAAAGTAAATGACAAAGCAAACAATGTCCTCTTGGGCAATGATGGGAAGGACATCATGATATCAACAGAAGAATAAATGTGCCCTTTCCATCTTGAAGGAAGGCATCATTCTACCTCGAGGCGGTGAAGAAAAGTAAACTGTTATTTGGGTCTATGGCACTAATAATGACTTACTTGACTTGGAGTATTTTAAATATTCTTACAGTACAGTACTTAGGGTAGCATTATCTATGCACTAAACTTGATTGTTTTTGATAGGGAAATACTAGTATTTGTGTCAGATTTTTTGTCACTCTTTGGTTTTATGAAGTTCCTCCACCATCTTTTTCTGTTTGAGAGTCAGGGTCAAAGAGACTCCTCAGATAACTGTAACGTCCAAGTCAGGACCAACACAGACACTGCTAGCTGGACCTTAATCCAGGTGTCCAACACAGGTAGCACAAAGCCAACTGCCTGTAGAATCAACATGGCCTCACACAGTCTGCACTGACAGGAGGCTGAGTCACAAGCCAGAGCTAAGAAACAAATCATGTGGAAGGTGGCCTCCTAACCTGTTAATGTGGCAACTAATATAGAGCACACAAAACGGCGTAGGAATGAAATATTCATTTCGGATAAGGTGATCTGTTTGAGCCTGTGTTTATACTCCAATGGAAATGAGGTCTTGTCAACTTCCTTTTTAAAAATTAATTTCAAAGGAGTCTTTTTTTTTTCAAAATTTAATTTCCATTTGTATTGGAAATGTAGATTTGTAGGGAGGAGAGACAGAGGAAAAGATCTTCCTTCTACTCTTCCATTTCCTAAGTGGCAACACTGGCAGGAGCCGAGTTGAACCAAAGCCAGGAACGAGGAAATTCTCCCAGGTCTTTGGCAGCATGAATGGGTTCATGGCTCTCTAAACAAGTGTACTACATTTACTGATGCTAATCCAGGAGTGTGACTTGACGTTTCATGTTCATCCTTTCTGTCTGGTGCACAATCTCCTTCAAGCACTTGGTCCTTCCCATCATTGCCCAAGGACATTATTTGCTTTGTCATTTACTTTGATCTCTATCTCCAAATTTCTGTTCCTCATTCCACAAACCACATACACATTTCTAAAGGAGTGCTTCATTAAATTATTTTCAGTTGTAAAATTAAGTGACACATGGCTTTCCCATTCACGAGCTGTTTTTACTGTCTTGGAAGAATAAATTACCGTTGCTTGCATCGTTTTATGATAGCCAATGAAATATCTCCTAGTGTAGTATCTGGTAGCAATCCTTAATATCTCACTGGGAAATCTAATTTTGTGAGGAGAATATTAATTTGATAAAGGAAAGTGTATACAGACTCAATATCAACTATCATGAAAGGCATGCCAGAGTGAAGTCTTGGTGTGAGGGAAAGAACAACTCAGAATGAGGTCTTTGAGACACAGATGAGAACAAAGAACAAAAACATTTCCTGAGCTGAAATGTTCCCAGCACTATGTCACCACCATCATTCCATCCTGCTGCTGAGAAAACAATGTTTCTGACATTACCAAATTTCTCTACCACCTCCCTCTACACTTACCAGGCTGTGCTCCTCCTCGGATGAGGCATGGCCCAGGCGGAGGGCTCCACTGCTTCTCTACTTTGTGCTATGGCGTGGTGCCTCATAGCTTTGACTCAGGACTATAGAGCAGACAGACTCATGATGTGTCCTTATCATGCAGGTGCATAAAATCATGTTGGTCATAGCATGAAACTACCAGAAACCACCGGTAAAGTCAAGGTCTGAAGTTGCTGGCCTATTATTTACATTTGGAGGACCCTGGGGGTTCAGTGCCCAGAGCTTCTCATTAGCCAAAAGGTCCAGGGTGTCTCAATCTCTGAGGACTTGCTGATAGTGATGAAAAAGGGAATGGGGAAAGAAAGAGTCCCTGGGCTCTAGACACAACGGGTCCAGGTGTGTTGTGCTGCTGCTGACTTTCACATGCAGAATCTTGAATGAAGACTCAGAGTATATTTTGGTTTTGTTAATAACTTCATCATACTTTTCATGATGTTTACACAGTTGAGAGGCGTGAATGCATGTGAGGTCCACCAATTAGGGTGGTGAGAGTCAAGCTAATGTAGATGAGAAGACTGCCTCTAAATGCCTTTTTTCTTCTGGTATCTGGAGTAAAGAAAAAAGGGCAAAGGGTCACCCCCAGCAACTCACAGGACTCAGGAATAGAACACCACCCGCTGTAATCCCAGGTTCCCAATGTTGGAGCATGTTCCCACAATACACCTTAAATGGATTCAGCGTTCTGAGATGCTGTTGATTTCATTGCTTGGAAGATGAGGAAATCCTTCCAAGGTCCTTTCACTGACATTGTCTACCTTAGAGTCTTGATTCACTCAGATACTTCTCCAGGAGTAATATCAAATTTGTTCTGCCCTCCATGGCACTTGATGTCCTCTGTAGGCTTCAATGAACTGGTTGTCATGTCCACCATGAGCATCTGGGCATGCCATCCACTGCACATGCCTCCAAAACCATGGTGACTCAGTTCTGACACATGCAATCCATGGTCAGACCACAGAGCTTGTGATTTCCACCATGGTGGGAGTTCTGAGTCTAGTGATCCAGTTGGGAGTGTTCCCCAAAGAGATCTCTCCAGAGATGACCCCAGCCTAACTGTGTGTGTGGGGTTTGGCTCAGTTCATCATCTACATAAGCCACTTTGGTGATTGGTTTTGCTGGGTCAGTTATGTCCACAGCCCCATTCTTATGTATAACAATGCATGCTGTAGCACAGCATAACCCTGCCTAAAACACAATCTTCCCTCGTGTACATTAGCAGGAACAATAGCCTCGTTAGAATGATCCCCAATAACTCAACCTAGACCTACCCTCAGCCCTGGACCATGCACATTATGGTATGTGAAACAGAACCTGTCCTGTCTTTTTCACATCTTATTCAGCTCTCATCCACACCAGTATGCATTGGAGCCTAGCACAACCCAACTGATTTCATCAGCCAAACTCATGCCACTGGTGCGACCTCCTGACTAGCAATGCGTGCTCCCAGCCCAGGTTCTCATGCTCACCAGTAGGAGTTGAAGCCATACAGAGAGGAGGTACACATATTTCCCCACGGGGCTGCTGCCACTCCTGGATCTTGCACTTTCCAAGTGGTACTATGATCTATCAGAACATACCCCCCAACTCACACAACACTTGTTAGCTGTAGCAAAGCCCAACCAGCCTCCCCTTACTCTGGCTCATACATGCACAGTGCGTAGTGTTGCTTAGCCCAGCCAGACTCTCTTCCTAAGCCAGCTCATATACATGAGGTATACATACAGCTCAGTTACGTGAGGTACATATAATGGGTGTTGTAGCCCTGGCAGTCTAGGGCTTCCCCAGGTTCTGATTCTGGTGCTCACCAGCAGGGGTTGTGGCCCAGTGGAGGATCCCCACAGCTCTCTTTCAGGGTTCATTCCCCATCCTGTATCTTATGTGTGTGATTGAAACTGCAATATGAACTGCTTGAACTCAGGTGGAAACTAGAAAAGATTCTTTGTAGAGAATGTGGAGAGAGCCCATGCAGCTCCCAGCATGTCTACTAATAAAGGTCTTTCTCTCTGTGAAACTACTCAGGGTAATGGAGAGTAAATTTTTTCCAATTCGTCAAGCACAGCACAGAACTCAAGGATCATGTATAGAAACCAAGAAATAGTGCCCAAAGAACTCATTGCATCCCCAGAAAGAGACTCTTTTTTTCAACACTCATGGATATACTTAATTTTCTACCAACAAATTGAAATAATCATACTAGAGATGCTCCGTGAGGAAGGAAAGAAGTTACACACATTGAAATCTTGTGCCATTAGGAAAAAAATTGCCTGACCACAATGAGATCAAAAATTAAAATGCATAACATATGGAAAAGAAAGAGCAATATTGGAGATGAAAATATAATGCAATCACTCATCTTCAACAGAGGTTCAATAGCAGAATTCATCAATTAGAATAAAGGATCAACAAACATTTTTGCCTATTATTCATCAACATGTATACCTATTTTAAGAATTTATTGCAGAATCATTCTAAATTTACAAATATTTTAAAAGATAGCAACACAGAGATCCATATCATCTTCATCTAATTTCCTCTATTACAGCTTATAGAATATGTTTCACAATTTTTTAAAGATTTATTTCTTTTTATTGCAAAGACGGATATACAGAAAGAAGGAGAGACAAAGATCTTCCATCTGCTGATTCACTCCCCAAGTGACCACAATAGCCGGTGCTGCTCAATTCAAAGCCAGGAGCCAGGAGCCTCATCTGGGTCTTCCACATGGGTGCAGGGTCCCAAGGCATTGACTGCTATCTGAGGCCACAAGCAGGGAGTTGGATGGAAAGCAGGGCTACCAAGACTAAACAGCCCTGACATGGGATCCTAGCATGTTCAAGGTTAGCACAGAGAGCTGCGCCAGGGTCTCTATCACAGTTAATGACCCACATGCCTCCCTTAATTTTAACACCAGAAGCTTTATTCTTTCCATCCCTCCTAGCAGCAAATAATAACATCGTATTTTCAGATTCACCAGTGGTTCCAGGCCACTGTTTGAATTTTTAAAATTTTCTTCATTTTTTCATGATACAGTTTCATTGGCTTGAGAATTTCCCTTCCACCATTCCACACACTCCTGTCCCCACTGTTGCCCTTTATATTGCAACAGTAGTTTAATCTCTCATCAATAGTCACAAGTCCATCATTTTGCATTTAAGTGTTCATCTGTAATGAGCAATTCAATGGATAAAGGAAAAATAATGAAGAGCGGAGAGCCAGAAAGATATAAAAGACACCCTAAGAACAATGCATGCTGCATGTAAGTCTCAAAGCAAGAAAAGAGAGAGCGACAGTGTGGCAGACAGCCGTCTCGAAAACAATGAGTGACATTTGGAGCAGGCCAAATTGAAAGAAGGAAGTGTACACACACATTCAAGAAGCTTAATAAACTACAACAGTAATAAATCTAACTTATAACACCAACACACATGATGATGAAAGCATTCAAAATCATGAATGGAGAATCCTGAGAGTAGTACGGGAAAATTGATTCATCACACACTACAAAGGAACAAAACAATGTAAGTAGACTTTCCAGCATATCCAAAGATTGCCAAAAAACTTTTGTATCATCAACCCACAGTTTCAAAAACTCAGCATCTCTAATGTGAGACCCAGGCCTGAGAGTTGTGAAAGCTGCCTGGTGCATCCTTAAAAGGAACAGTGACACAGATCCTCACAGACACCTGCACCGACCAGGTACACAGGAGCACAATGTGTATGGGAAGTAAATTCTAGATAAGAAGTGACCTTTAATAACACACAAAGATAGTTGTCCAACTGTGCAATACCCAAATCAAGCTCCAGTTGGGTTTAGAACTCAGGAAACGTGTGGAGTTGGCATTTTTTTTCTTTTCTTTTTTTAAAGATAAAGACATAAAGAGAAAAGATGGGTAATCATAATTCTATGATCATAATGGGCAATGCAAAAAAAGATGTTTCCCGTTTTTATGCAGGAAATCTCACAAGCTTTACACAGATTTTTACATCATGGTCAAATGGGTGTTTCCAAAGATAATTCTGTAAACTGTTTCACTTTAAAGCAGGCCATTATACATGCTGACATTGCAACCAGGAATTGTTCAGCAGGCAGCACACATTACTCAGTGATAACCCCCTACTACATTTTTCTTTCTACAACTTGTAATTTAAAGGAGAAAATGTATCATGGAGGGAAAAAGCACAAAGATCAGAAACAACAACAAACAAAAAAACTTCAGACATAAATTCCACAACTTAACGACTGCTTAATTAGTTTGAAGGCATGTTGGACAATCTTAGTAAAAACATTCTTGAGCTCCTGCAGCCACCAAGGGTCCTGGGAATGGCCAAGACAGCATAAATTGTTAAAGGCCCACTCACCAACAAAACCGGACAGTAAAATTTTGTTAGGGACGTGGGTTGCTAAGCTCATATAAGTTACAGAGACCACATCACAAGGACAAACAACAATACATCAACAGATTTCATGGGTAGTTAAGTGTCCAATTAGTTCATTGAAGTAGCTGGAGGGACATTTACCAGGCCTTGCCATACAGCTGGGAGCCTGGTTTTTGGCCTTGCCAACAGGACAGTCGTTCTCTTCACACCTTTGTATGCCCCAAAGATACAAAAGATGGGAGGCCTCTGCTCCTAGCAGTCCAGCAGCCCTGGATTAATGAAAGCTCCGTGGATATAACAGAATTCAGACATGCAGTAGATAATCTATTCAGATGACCTATCACATATTGTGTTAAAAAGAGACAAAGAGGGCCTAGCGCAGTGGCACAATGGATAAGGTCCTCGCCTTGCATGCCCAGGATCCCATGTGGGTGCCAGTTCTAATCCTGGCGGCCCCACTTCCCATCCAGCTCCCTGCCTGTTGCCTGGGAAAGCAGTCGAGGACGGCTCAAAGCTTTGGAACCCTGCACCCCTGTGGGAGACCCGGAAGAGTCTCCTGGCTTCAGATTGGCATAGCATTGGCCATTGCGCTCACTTGGGGAGTGAGTCATCGGACGGAAGATCTTCCTCTCTGTCTCTCCTCTCTGTATATCTGCCTTTCCACTAAAAATAAAATAAATCTTAACAAAAAAAAAAAAGAGTCAAAGAAGCAACATTCAGAAGAAAAATGAAAGTAAAAACCTGTGATGTCATGGCTAGGGGCAGCTGAGATTTGGAGGTCTAGATGCTTAGTTTTTTTATTTTTTTCTGCTTGCAGTAAAAGGACCAAGATAAGGTTGGTTTTCTGTAGAGCATTGTCACAGAACTGTTGATGTCACTGTTCCTCAGGCTGTGGATAAGGGTTGAGCATGGGAGAGACCACAGTGTACACCATTGAAGCCAAGGCACACTTCATAGTGGAAAGTGAGAAAATTGAACTAAAATACATTCCAAGCAATGTACCATAAACTAAACAAACCACTGTCACATGAGAGCCACAGGTGGAGCAGACTTTTTACCTGCCATCTGGAGATGGGAGCCTCAGAATAGAGGAGACAACTTTATAGTAAGAAAAAAAAGATTCCTGACAATGGGAAAACACCAAAAATGACGCCAATCAAATAATTTGCCATGCATAATATAGGTTAAGGTGTCACAGTAATTAAGGTTTAGAATTTGAGACCGGTCACAGAAGAAATCTGAAATCTCCACTCCCTTTAAGCAGCTAATCCAGAAAACCATAAAATTCTGCATCAGGTATTCCAAAAGACTAAATAATCCATGCATCCAAAGAGGAGAAAGAGAGACATCTGAGTCAGGCAGCCTGCAGAGGAGGTAGCTGGGCTAATGCATGAGGACTGGCATTTTGCTAGTGATACCCACAATCATCTTGGGAACCGTGGTGGAGGTGAACCCCATGTTAGCCAAGGAAGGTTACAGAGGAAGAAGTACATGGGTGTGTGCAGGTGGGAGTCTGAGGAGACAGCCAGGATGATGAGCAGGTTCCCAAGCACTGTGAGCAGGTACATGGAGAGGAACAGTTCCAGGAGGAGGGGCTGCAGTTCTGGATCCTCGGAGAAGTTCATGAGACAGAATTCTGAGAAAGGTATGCGTTTTTGGTTTTAATATAACCTGAACTCCTTTGGGAAAAGAAAACAGTATTGCACACACTATATATATGTGTGTTGAAATGTGTATATGCACATAATTATTTTCAGTTCATCGTGGGCATTACCCATGCATATCTCTAAGCTTTTTTTAGAATCAATGCAGTCAAAAATATATGGGCTTTGTTGCACATAGGATATTTTATGTTCTCTAATTCTATGGGCTATTTCAGAAAGGGATGCAGGAAGTGAAGAGTAAGCACCAAATGTGCTGAGACCACAGTGACTGTGTCCAATTACTGTGAGCCAGAGAAGGCTCTATTGAATAGCCACAACTTATTTATGCCTGTTGCATAAATAAAGCACAAATGAGATTGAGTAATTAAAAATGAAATACTGTCATCCTTCAATAAAAAAAAAAAACAGCCAACATTTTTTTGTGAAGGTGTGTTTGTGCGCTAAAATGCTTTTGGAATCATGGAATTAAAAGCCTGGTTTATTTACATAAAAAAGCTTTTGGTATAAAAATATTGTTTTTTTTCTTTTTTTTTTTTTATTGTTGCTTACATTGTATTATGTAGTACAGTTTTATAGGCGCTGGGGATTCCCCCCACCCCTCCCATACCCCTCCCCCCATGGTGGATTCCTCCACCTTGTTGCATAACCATAGTTCAAGTTCAGTTGAGATTCATTGCTTGCAAACACATGCCTAGCATAACGTTCAGCGTCTTATTGTCCAGATAAGTTCAGTGGCCTCTTGGGGAGACCTTCTATGGTCTGAAGATAGGTCTAACAGAGTAAAGATCCGGTCAGTTAAAAGCCCCAACAAGGCCTCAGTATCAATATACAACATTATGGAATTAATTGACATAGTATTGGGTAAACAATATGTTAAAAATGTTTGCCTTGATTTAACCTGTAATTTTTTGTTTGGTTGTTTGTTATTTTTGAACCTGTCATTGATACTGTCTCAACCCAGATGTTTCGAAGAATGGTATAAAAATATTGTAATCATTCTATGCCTACCTTGCTTAGGATTTTTACATAAACTGACGTTGGATTTTGTCAAATGTCTTCTCTGCTTTCATTGAGATGACCGTATCTTTTTTTTTTTCTATTTGTTGATGTAGTGAAACACATTTCTTTTTTTTTTTTAAGATTTATTTTTATTATTATTTTTTATTATTGGAAAGGCAGATATACAGAGAGGAGAGACAGAGAGGAAGATCTTCCGTCCGATGATTCACTCCCCAAGTGAGCGCAATGGCCAGTGCTATAGCCATCCAAAGCCAGGAGCCTCTTCCGGGTCTTCCACGCTGGTGCAGGTTCCCAAAGCTTTGGGCTGTCCTCGACTGCTTTCCCGGGCCACAGGCAGGGAGCTGGAAGGGAAGCGGGGCTGCCGGGATTAGAACTGGCGCCCATATGGGATCCTAGGCGTGCAAGGCGAGGACCTTAACCACTTGCGCCACCGCGCCGGGCCCGAAACACATTTCTTGATTTGTGCTAAACCATCCTTGCGTGTGAGGGAATAGTCCCCCCCACCGCCCGGTCCAGGTGAATAAACTGCTTCATGTACTGTTGGATCCTGATGGCTTATATTTTGTTGAGGATCTTTTTGTCTATGTTGTATATGTCCATGTTGTAAATGTTCTTTCCCTCTGTTGCTGATTTGATTTTATGGATTTCCATTGATGGAGATCTATGCTAATTGTGCAGGAGAGCATGAGCAAAGTTCATGCTTTACTATTCCTCCTCTGTTGATTGCAGTGGAGCCTCACATGCTTGATGCAGGAATGGAGAAGAGACAGACTCAGATCATGCAGGTGCTAATGTTGTAATACTCCTCATGCAGGTGTTAATATTGCTGTGGGACACAGCATGGAGCTACTGGATTTACAATGACATAGTCAAGGTGTAACACCGCTGGGACGTATGTTACGCTTGCAGAACCCTGGGGGCTTATGCACAGAGCTTCTAATTACAACAGTTAGTTCATGGTGTCCCAGCCTATGGAGACTGCATGGTGCCAGTTGATGAGGGAATTGGGAAACAGAAGTGTACCTAAAACTTTGGCACAGGAAGCTCACCTGTGCTTCTTTGCTGCTGTTTCCAAATGCAGGTTCGTTACAGAAAATTCAGTTTCATCTCAATTTCATAACCCCCTGTGTAATTTTTAGGTTCTCACAATCCTCTAGATAGATCATCAAATCTGTCAAGGGTGTGATTTCTTGTTTCTCCTGACTCTGCAAAGACAGCTTCCATATTCATTTCTTAAGCACACGTCTTGGGTTAGCATTTCATAACTTGATAAAATGCTGTTTACCATTTTGAATGATTTTGATTTCACAGTTGTGTCCTGTGGAATTGTGCTGAAATGCGACAAAGTGTTGGATTTCACATGTTTTTTGATACATTTTTCTTGACATCATCTTTTGGGGAGCAGGTGAACAAAGGCGATACTTCACAGAAGTTATTTGAAATGGAATAGAATTTCACAATAAAAATTTGCCAAGACATTTTTTAAAAACCTCATGTATGCCAAAACATTTTCATTATTTCAGTAGTAAAAGAACTGTGGGAATGTGCTGCTCTGTAAGGAACCAGGGTGAAGGGAATATCTACTTGTTTTTCTGGCTCTCTCCTCCCTACACCCCAGAACCAAGAATAGAAAATCCATGCCTAGTACACCATCGTGCCAGTCATTAATGTGCACTGTTTTTTGCTACTCATCTTATTATATTGTTTAGGCAACAATGATGAGGAAAAAAACACCTTTATTCAAGTTTAGGACTGACAAGATGGAAGCATCTTGAACCTGTAAAAACAAAACAAAATATAGAAGATCTAGTATATATGATTCCATCTGACCTTCCTCATAATTCTACAAAGGACATATTGCTACTACTCCATTGGAGCAAAAACATACCGGACAGATATTCTATCACTGTACAAACTAGAAACTTGTTCAAGTCTTCATTCTAGGGTGTCAGGCTCTGGACGTGTTTTTCTATTCCCTTGTATTCAGTCATCCTCAGTGTAAAGCTCATTCAGTATTGGCCATAAATAAATGCCTTTCTGTGCCTCAGAGGCAAACAGGGAACCCCAACAAAATGTAAAGGAAGACAATATCATCAGATCTTTTGTACTAGAGAAATTTCTCCTTGTGCATATGTGTTTATGTGTGTTCCATATCCAAACTTTTAAATAAGCTCTGATGCATGGCATGATATCATAATCCATGCATCCTTTACTTTTTAATATTCTACTCGTTCTACTTTCTCTCATACCATCTTAAAATGTCTTCCCAATTTAATTTTACACATTATTCAATGTTGGTCTGCAAAAACCCCACTATTATGCATGTAGGCCTATTTTCTCTAGCATATTGCAAAAATCCACTAAATCAGCCTGATGTTCATCAAATTTTCCTTTAGAAGAACTATTAGATTTGTCAAAACTGACAGAACTAGCAGGTCTGTCTCTGGATCATGTACACACTCAGATTCTGCCATACTGCTCCATAGTGTATCCATGGCCATGTAGACCAAAGGAGTGACCCACATTTCTATTCCATCAGCTGGATCTCTGCATTGATGTCCCTTCAGCTGTAGTCATGCTGAGTCCAAGGCCAATAGATGTTCCCCATGGCTTCTGATTTTTTTCCTCGTTGTTGTAAAACTTCATTTCACCACTGAATGCAGTTTCCTTTGATAGCGCTATCACCTCATTAAGTCCTCGTTGAAAGATTCTTTTAGGCACAGTGAAAACTACATGGGGATGGACTAGGAAGAATCAGGTCTTCATGCATCCCATATATTCATGCATTAACAATATACATCGACCACAACTGCTGGAGCTGAGCTGATCAGAAGCTAGGAGTTTTCCCTAGGGCTCCCACATGTGTGTTGGGGGGCCCAAGGCCTTGAACAATCCTCTGTTGCTTTCCCAGGCAAAATGTAAGGAGCTGCTTGGGAAACAGAGCAGGACATGAACTGGTGTCCATATGTCATGCTGGCACTTACAGGTGGAGGCTTAGCATGTTGAGCAACCCTGCCATCCCCAATAACTGCATTTTATGAAGTGCTTTCTAATTTTTTTTAAAGATTTATTTTTATTATTTTTTTTATTGGAAAGGCAGATATACAGAGAGGAGAGACAGAGAGGAAGATCTTCCATTCGATGATTCACTCCCCAAGTGAGCGCAACGGGCCGATACTATGCCGATCCCAAGCCAGGAAGCCTCTTCCGGGTCTCCCACGCAGGTGCAGGTTCCCAAAGCTTTGGGCCGTCCTGGACTGCTTTCCCAGGACACAGGCAGGGAGCTGGAAGGGAAGCGGGGCTGCCGGGATTACAACCGGCGTCCATATGGGATCCTGGGCGTGCAAGGCGAGGACCTTTAACCACTTGCGCCACCGCGCCGGGCCCAGCTTTCTAATTTTTTTTAAGATTTATTTATTTTTATGGGAAAGGCAGATATATACAGAGGAGGAGAGACAGAGAGGAAGATCTTTCATTGAATGGTTCACTCCCCCAAGAGACCACAATGGCTGGGGCTGGGCCAATTCGAAGTCAGGAGCCAGGAGCTTATTCTGAGTCTCCCATGTGGGGGCAGAGTCCCAAGGCTTTGGGCCATCCTCCACTGCTTTCCCACGTCATGAGTCAGAACCTGAATGGGAAGTGGAGCTGCGGGGTTTAGAACCTGCGCCCATATGGGATCCCAGCGTGTAAGGAGAGGACTTTAACCATTTCACTATAGTGCTGGGCCAAGTGTTGTCTATTTTATATCTTCAAGATCACACTTATTGGCCCAGTTTGGTGGCCTAGTGGCTAAAGTCCTCGCCTTGCACATGCCATGCTTATCAACCGTATACAATCTAATGGAAATATCTGGAATATCACCTTGCTCTTTCCTTGTTAATTTGGTCCATTTTTTGGTTGTTTGGTATCCATCCTAAGGATGTTTCACAGGAGTAGTTAAT